CCTTATTGATAGAACAGTGAGCCCACCAGAAGCAGATTCTATGACTTATTCAGCAGTTCACATTATGTTCTTGTAGTCTGAGTAATCTTATATGTTCAACCAAGATTAATGGGCTATATTTGCAAGAACTCATGTAAAATCATTAATTAGTGAAGTACAGCTAAAACATAGCAGTACATAGGATTTTTACAGATATTTGCCATTGTACACTCTATTCAGTATGTTTAAAGACATTTTTAATTTGAGAAACGTTTAAGTCTAAAACATAGAAAATCCTCAGACACACTGCACTATTGTGGGGTTTTGGTTTAGGGTTGCTGCAGACAACAGATGACGTCATTTGTGGCAGCGTGTGAGGATACTGGACCATGAAGCTAGCTCTCAGGACAGGAGTGACCTTTTCCTGTAATCACATTGTACAGTATTCCCTCTGCCACATTTTTCTCCAAAGCCACAACCAAAGAAGCTGCATCTGACATAAGGGCTCTTTGAATTCCTCCTTGCCTTTTAACATGAGTGAGGAGCTTCTACTTTGTGATCACTGTGTGGTTTCCACGACACTGTTGTGCTGCAGTTTGGAACGAAGCAATGCACAACAAAGGTTGTTTGGCTTAGAAAGTATATCTAAGTCAGCTAGTTGTAAATGACTTTTCAGTTATAAGTTAAGTGCTTTATGATTCAGGTCCTCTCTTTTCTTATCATTATATCTGTTATCCGTAGAAATAATATGTCACCTATTTAAAAAAAAAAAGATTCACAAATACCAGACTGCAATAAGCTGTGATTTATGTAGACCCGCTATCATTTGTATTTGAATTAATACGTTCAGTGAAAGTTAAAACAGCATGAAATATATTTATTTCGTTAGTGCATCTCCAATCGTCTGCTACACAGTTTTAACAATTGTTTTGAGGATATGGTAATTTAGAATGAAAGCAACGCTGGCTATTGCATTCCTAATTTCAAAGGAGCACTGAGAGTTTAATCACGTCTATATGTGGTTCAGATGTTAATCTGGGAGAACTTTCCCCACTGAGAGCAAAGCAGTGCCTGCCTTAAGCCTTGCATGGCTCTCTGACCCTCAACTTTTGTTCATAAGCACCTCTGGCCTTCTTTTGAGGCTCTAATAATGTTGCCTGTGACCACTGTGTTGAAGGGGACAAAGAGGCAACTGAAGTCAGAATGAGATCCTTAGGAGAGTTCAGATTTATGGCAGCACTGTTCCCCCAGAGGGTAGAGAAACTTTTAGGACCTGTGAAATCATAAGTGTTTTGAATCTTTCAAGCCTCGGCTAACTTGTTACCGCAGATACAGGGCTTAGGGTGATTAGACCATATCGTGCTCTCGCTTTGCTCTGCCATGTGCTTTTTCTCTCTTCAATAGGATTATCATATCCCTTTTCCCTTAATTGGAGAGGTGAAAAATATGCTGGTATGGTCTGGTACTCTGTTGAGCTCAAAGCCAGGTCACTTTACAGATACACTGTACGGAAAGGTTTTGATAAAAATGTTTATTTTTCAGCGCAGGAGCAGATCTTAGTTGGGTTCTAGAAATGCATATTGATATTTTGGATTTGATATATCTGAAGGGCCACATATCTATAGAAGGGACAGCTTCTGTGACAGAATAAAACAGAATGAAATAGAAAAATGTTTAAATTTGAAGTTTCAATTCGTTCAAATATTAACAGAAGCCTTTAGCTGGGGTCATCAACTGGGGGCATGAATATTCAGAAAATATTGGAAAAAACTTCGTGACCTCCAGAATCCATGTGTTCATACATGTCTGAATGCCATTACTTTAACACACACAGCCACCAATCTAATATCTTTGACTTCTTAAAGCAGCTCCCGTACAACATTAGAAAAAAAAAGAGGCATATTTATACTTTGGAAATCAATTTAAAGTGCATGTTTATCAAGTGTTTTTAGCTATCCTTTGTCTGTTCACCAGTATTCACAGTTTAAGACTTGTTTACCCAGGCTGATTAATATGGTGCTAGCTCTGTTGGCAAAGAGCCGCCTGTCTGTCTGCCTGGCTGAATTAACAGACGAGGGTCCATGGGGCACCACAGCTCCACGATGCTTGACGGTAACCAAATAAGGCCTGACCGCAATACGTATGCAGGAGGGAGAACAGGGCACTAAGCTGGCACAGGCCAGCCTCTTGCATTCTTTTGCCTCTCTCAAAAGGCTCCGGTCCCCCCTTCACACACGTCCAGTGTGTGTTGTGCCGCCTTGTGAAGTCTACAACAGGTTTTGTGACACAATTCATGTAAATGTCGTGCAGTTGTAAAAAGGCTGGCCCATTGACAGCAGATTTAGGGGATTTACGGTACTATGAATACTCAAAGGCTTGATATAAACCAGGCAGACGGGGCAGGGACATGGTCTCTATGGGATAAGTGAGATCATACTGAAATATAGTCTAACAGTCGTTCAGGACCATCGACTGAACTGGATCAGTCCTAAGACCAAAACATAAGGGTCGCCAAGCTTGTTCACAAATTCTGTCTTAGGATTCTAAACCTAGTTGAATATTAACTCAGATGTTTTCTTTAGGGCCTCTTTCAAGTATACTCACTCCCCCCCTTATCTTAATTAGAAAGAAATTTAGAGGAGTGAAGTGGTCCTTTGGAAACAGGCACCTCCGCTCCCTGCTTCCCTAAAGGCTGAATCACTGCACATTTGGAGTGCAAGGCCCCAAAAACTAAACGTGTGCTAATGTCATTCTGAGTTTAGATACACACTACTATGAAATGTGTATAAATTTGTTGATGTGATTGATAATTTATAGCCATTTTGGGACTGAAAAGAAGATTTAAATGTGTCATTTTAATAAGGAAAGTCTCTGAGAATTTATTTGTTGTCTTATTCATAGTTCCTCACTGCCATGTGAATATTTGTTCGTACAGATCACTATTTAATCTTAAACCTGACTTCATAAAAAAATAGAATTATGCTTGAGATCATGTCATGCTTAACTCACACTTTGAATATTAACTTTCAGAATAGAAAGTCGTGACCGATAAGTTCCGTTAGACGGACGGCAGAGACCTATTCTTTTTTGCATTTGTCTGTGGAGGACAGGCTCCAGCGCTCAGGGATCACACATGCAGTGTTTACCACTGGCATGAGTGCCACGCCGTTGGATTGAATCCAAACAGTGCAGTGAGGCCCCGCTACAGAAAGGTCACCTGTCTTCAGAAGAATGATGTGGAACACACAGGAAGCAAAAGTCCTAGTCTGTGGTCGACTGAAGAATGCGTGACTCGTTAAATGTGTCACCGTTCCCTCCTAACCCAACAGAGGTCCCTTTACATGTCTGGAATCTGCTCAAAAGTGGAAATGTTTATCAGTCTTCTCAGAAGACTTTTTGTGAAACATCTGTTGATTTTGTAAATCATTTTGAATCTTTGCAAAGCGCTGGTTTTTCAGATGAAAACATGCCACATTATCTCATAGAGGTTTTTGATTAATATGAATATAAAGATTTTCTAATTAAATTATCTATCTTGCATCTTATCCATAATGCTGTGTTCACAAGACTTTTATATTCTAGCAAATTATTCAAAATATAATTCAAAATGTAAGTGAAAGTTTCTGCTGCTTATGACTTAATTGATGCTCAGTTTTGACATCTGTCAATTTTTTGCTGTATTCTCTGTGGATTTTTAACTTCAAGACACATCAGCATCTGTCGTCAGTATGCTTCTCTTGTTTTCCTTATTGGTGTGGATGACCAAAACTCTAAAATAGTCATAATTTTACTTTTGTATGTTACTGCAATTGCGGTCCTCATAACCTCAAATTGCTTTTTTGTTGTGAAAGTATTTTCCAGAATATCTCCTTGAGTTTGTAAATCTTTTAATTAGTTTTCTCTACAGTGCATTAAGAATCCTCTTTGTTTTGTGAATGTGCAGAACATGGAGTCTTCCCTTTTGTCTCAGTAATGGCGCCATAACGTAAAAAAAGAGAAAACATTATTGTTAACAAAATGAAGGCCAAATTTCAACATTGTGTAGATTCATAAACAGCTTTACTGCAAGGGAAAAAGTGCAGAAATTCTCTTGTGCGCACACACTCAGACCCAAACACACACTCATAAATGCATTCCCTCTTATTGTACAGCTCATATTGTACAGCGCCCAGGGTGAATGTGTAAAGGTTTTATTCTGTTTAGAGAGGGGTGCAAAGGGATGCGGTGAAGAGGTGACAGATTTACTGACCCTGACAACAAGGGTGGAGCGAACAAGTTGGGCCTACATAAACAACAGCAACACTCTGAGCCCTCAAAATGAATGGCCCTGCACCTTTATGGCAGTTTTGCTTTTACTGCTCCCCACTTTTGCAGTTGACAGGTGTTTGTGAGCTCAGTTTTCTGCATTTTACTATGTTCAGCCAGCAGGTCAGTGTGACTTTTATCAATGTGAGAGCTATTAGTTAAACTCATTGGTGCTCTGGAAATTACAGTATCAAAGTATTAAGTAGTTTTAAGTAGTCTTATTGAGTCACCGTGTGTGCATCTTCATATTTTATGTCTGGGTTTGTGTGTCTTTGTGTGTTTGATGTCGGTGCTTTGAGCCTTTTTGGTCAAGTGGTAGCAGTCGTGCCTTCTGGTACTATAGCTGTTGCCTTTGAATGCAACATCAAAAAGGCTAGCATAAAATAACACAGTTCAGACAGGAAACTGATACTCTTTATCTTAATTAGAAATGAAGCAATTGGATTTCACAACCCCCTATTTCTTTCGCATAAGGGCTTTAACGCCTCATACCTCCCGCTGTGTGCTGACTAGTACTCAGTATCGAGTCCTCAAGGTATCCAAGAAATTACTCTAATAAGAGGTATTAAAAAAAGATCTGTGCCTGCTCAGAAAGAAAATATATTTTCATTTTCAAAACATATTTTAATCATCGAGTCTGAGTTTGATATTTTAACTCATCTTTTGCGGTTTGATTAATTCATTGCAAGAATATTATTAATGATTTCTGTTTGCAGGTGGAAATAAACTTAGAAACCAACAGTTCAGACTGAACTGGGCTTGGATTTTTCTGGAAAAGGAATACTATGTGGTGGATGAGGAGGTGAAGTTCCTGGAGGTGGTACTCAAACGCCGCGGCTTCCTGGGGGAAACTTCGTTTGTCAGTAAGTGTATTTGCCTCTCTTTACTTTGTATTTTCATTTCTGGGGACGTATCTTAAAAATTACTTGTACGAAAATAAATTATGTCTTTGAAACCTTTAAAACATCCCAAAGCGCAATATCTGCTCCGTTTACTTTAAATAAAAGTATGGATCTTCAGTCTATTCAGTTACAACAATAAAATCTAAAACTAAAACAACAAAAGAGATGCTGTTTGGACAGTCGACATATTGACAGACAACCACTTCCTTTGATATACTTTCAGACTATAGTAAGGATAGCTTGGATATTCATTGGGGTCATTCAAGTCATGACCTTTAACCTCCCCCCTTTGACCAGAGTTTATGTTCCAATTACACAAAAGCACACAAAAATCCCAGGGACAATGTATGCACATACATAAGGTCACCTGAAGTCAGTAGCCATGTGGGCGCCACTCTGAATGTTAGCCGAGGCCGTTTACTGGCCAGAACCAAACTGATTATAACGCTTAATGCCTCTCAGAGGCAGTTATACCTACTAGTGCTGCCATTTATTCATTCCTTTTTTATTAAAAATGACTTGATGTTAAAGGTCAAATCCCACACAAGTTAATTTCCTTTACTGTCATTTGTATCTTTATATGTTCTTAGGCCCCGGAGCAAATGAACCATCTCTTGGATAATGTGTAAAATTTGTTAACCTTTAAAGCCTCACAAAGTGCAATCCCTGCTCTGCCGCTGTGAGTCAGTCAAATAAAGTTTTTGTTCTTTAGGGACTTTGGCCTCCACTGCAGTACAGACGTAAATGTTCAAAAGTAATTCCCAACTTAATAAAATCAATTTTTTTAATAGGTCCAAAACTATGTTGATAGTATGGCAACTCAATTATGTAGTTTTTGCTGATGAGACACAACAATGAAATGAAACGGAATAATTTAACTTAGTTGACATGCCTGTGAGATGACCTCTGCAAGATATTATGAAACCACAAATGAATGTAGTGTACAAGGAAAAAAGGCAAAACATCATCATCTGTTTTGATTTACTGGAGCAATGATATGTTTTATTAATGTTTGCATAATCAGTTAAACAAGCCCCTGTGTGAACCGTGGATGCACTGTGCAACCACCGTTCAGCTAAGCTCTCTGTATTTTTAATGATTTTAAAATATTGTTGTGTGCTTGCAAATTCCAACGTCCGCTTTTACATGCTCAAGGTTCTCTCTTTTTTTTTTAGCAGTATTCAACCCAGAATTAAACTTGGGAAAAGCAATCTGTCTCTTCTTGGTAGGAAGTGAAAGTGGCTAATAGAGAAGTCTACCCTAAATTAAAACACTTTGGTTTAGGAAATAAAATATATTCGGTCCCAGTAATGCTACATCAAATTCTGTAAAAATTAAAAAATTTGGTTTTCCGCCAACATGTTGAGGCTAAGAGGGGAAAGCCGAGATTCTGTTTGATCAACTGGAAGAAAGGCAGAAAAGCAGGAAGCACCTGATCTGATGTGGGCACTTTCTCATGAAAGGGGGAAAGCCTACAATCCATGGATACTGGTAGGCTACAATAAAAGGACACAAAGAACCTTCATCGAGAACTCAATGGGGCTCGAGAGGCCAATTCAAAGCCAACCTCACATGGTACAATCAAGTGGGGCATCTAACAAGAAGATGCTTTCTTCCCTCTGTTGATGTTGGCTGAGCCCACTCAGCCAGATCATCACAAAGAGTGCGTATGGTTCAGAAGTGGAGCAATGGTCAGCAACCTCCTCCATGACAGGGATGACATCATGCTGTATACCAGGATTGTGTACAACTCAACTCACTTATACACAGGGTATATCAACACGGTGGAGTTTTATGTGCTCAAGAACGCAGACATATTATTATCAAAGAGAGGCAAATAAGTTGAACTATTCAGCACAACTACTATTGCTTTTTGGTCACATAGGAAAATGGCAAAGGTGTAATTGGTTGTAAGGATGTCGGACAAAGTAACGTACCTGCAAAGTGTAAGGCAGGTTTACAATAGTGAAATGAATGAGTAAAACTGTGTCAGCCATTAAACATTTATCCCATACCACTTGTCAAATACCCCACCGATTGTCAATAACTCAATAATAACTCAGTTTGAAGTGGAATGGAAGCTACTGAGTCCAGCACCCTTAGAAAAGACACCCAGCAGAAAAAGGGAGACCAGAGACTTGTGAGTGCCAGAGCTACTATTCAGGAAGTCCCAGCAAAGATCCAGGATAAATCGGGAGGATGGCCCTGGTGATGCACTTCTAAGTGGATGCCTCTGGGCGCTGAAACCCAGTGAAGACCAAAAAGAAAGGACCAATTCTGAGGATAATCCTTAGGATGAAAATGTACCACAGAGGAGCTGGCAGACTTCCACAAGTCACTCTTTTGGCTGGAAGAATGCTGGTTTAGAAAACACTATTGATTCACTCATTTTGAGTACTAAAGTTATAGAAGCAGGGGCTAGCACATTAAATAGCACTGTGCAAAGCAGTCTGTTTAATGTTTAAAAGAAAATCCAGTACATAGTAGGGGAGGAGTGACAGCATACATGGAAAGCCTTAATGGAGAGGCAAGGAACGTGAACAGGAACCAAATCCAGACTGATTAACAGGTGATTGATTAAACAAGCACACCGTTTTGTTGTTGCAATTTACAGAGGAAGATAGTGGAGAAAGATGTAGCCATCTCAAAAGTTAACAACATCGACATCCTTTGGAAGCCAAGATAAATCCCAAGGAATGAAAGAGGAAGTTGAAAATATGAGGAAAGTGAAGGCAAGAGTGGTGCCAGTGGGGATTGGAGCACTCAGGACCATATGGCTCCAGCATTTCCCAGGCAGAACATAACACCATTCCATATTTCTGAGTGCAGTCCTAGGAAGAGCTGAGATGCTCTGTAGGGTAGAAACACTTAGGGCAACCGCCCGCTTGGAGGCAAATGTTTAGTATATGCATGCATGTATAGAAAAATGCCCGTGTTGTCCCTCCGGAGACACAGTTTTTGGAGAGTTCTCAGTTGTTATGCATTAACAGAACACATACTCAGCTGCCACTGAGTAACCTCTTACAGAAGCAAAAACAACACAAACAACCAGCCAAAATCTAAATGCAAAGGTTTGTAAACAACGTGACAAAAATGACACGACCAATATGTCACAATGATATTATATTAATAATATTATTTAGCAAAATCGACCATAACGGAGTCTCTGTACAGATTTGTTAAAAAAAATGTCCTTTTCTAATGTTGATTTGTGCTTTCCTATAAACTCCACCGGTGTGTGTAGGTGTAGACGGAAGCAATAGGCTGCAGGCTTCTAACTGAATGGTAGAACTGCATTAACTTTTGACCATGCAGAATTGAACAAACAATAAATGAGCCATGGAGCTCCTGAATAATGGATGGCCAATTATGGTGTTTTAATCCTTTTAACACACTGAGTTTGAACTGTTCCTATATCTACCTTTTGCCACACTTTTGTTTTTCCACACAGCAGATCATTTTAATCCTGTAATAAAAACAACAATTTTACAGCCTTATTTTGTTTTTAGTAGATTTTCTATTTCATCTTTTTTGTGGACACGTGCACCAACATGTAGTCTGTTTACTGCCCGGACGCAGATGCATGTTGTGCGGACAGCTTTGCTCAGACAATGGAGAGGCTGTGTGACATTTGATTGGCTTCAGTGCTGTTGCTCAACAGGACGCATGCCAGAGTTACAGCCATGGTGGCTATGAGTTCCATCAAAAAGCTCACATGCTGAAGGTCAGCCAGTGCATGTCAGCCCCGGACCATTTATGCCAAGATCAGGCAGACGTGATAGATAATTGGTTTTATTTTCAGCTTCCTTGTTAGAGACACTGGGGATGGAAACTGTGCCCCAGTGCTGAGAACTGAAATGCTCTAGTTTACAGAGTCAGGGCAGGTACAAAGACGTAGATGTCAACGTGTGTAGGCTTTGGGATATTTGACCAGTGTGCGGTTGTCATGTTGTAATTATAACCATGTCCTTCTTGAGGTATCGGCACAAAGGATGGCACTGCGAAAAAGGACAAAGATTTCCGCGGGAAGTCTCAGAAACAGGTGCAGTTCAACCCAGGCCAGACCACCGCCACCTGGAGGGTCAGGATACTGTCAGACGGAGAATATGAGGTGTCAGAGACATTCCAAATTGTTCTGTCTGAGCCGGTAATGGCGGCTCTTGAGTTCCCTGAGGTGGCGACTGTGGAGATCTTGGACCCCGGTGATGGTGAGTAGTGTAGTGTAAATATGTTCAGATATATATGTCTTTTTTTGTGTGTTTTATCTACTCTAAGTGGATAAGTAGTGCCACAGTGGAGTTTCCCAGTGTGTTTCAGCTTGTGATTTTATCAATAACGACTATTTAATTCAGTTTATTTAGTACAATTCCCATAAAACATCCTATGTCTTGATTATAAATGTCACTAACTATAAAAAAACAAGCACAGACATGGCAGCATCTCCTTTTCTCATATGTAGGTAAACAGAGTCAAAGGATGATGTTTGTCATGCATCAGAAACTTTAATGACTGGAAAAGAGGAAAAGGTGTCGCTGACAGCAGTTGCAGCTCAACAGAGCTGAGATCCTATAGGGCTTCACTGGATAAAAAAAGAATTTGCTGTTAATGATATATGCTAATTAACATGTTTTAGCTGGAGCTAGTTTCTGAAAACACCAGTCCCTGAAGGGTAATCACAAAAACTGTCATCTATCTCTCTGCAAGATATGAAATTAAATTTGTGTGCCTTGAGCAAATTGCCACCCTAGATCTAAGACTATTATCATATCATGATACAGTTTATTATTTCCAAATATGAATGTATTTTGGCCTCTCAAGGTCAAATAAACATGAAAATGTCACATGTGGTTCTCTTTTCTGAGAGCAAAAAATAGCCTGAAGCCTGCCTTCACTCCAGATTGGCAAATTGGGATTAGACTGGAGTCGAAACAAGGCGTGGTAAATAGCCATACTATCATCTGCATTATTGGCACACCGCCACTCAGAGAGGTAGATTTAAGAATTAGACTCAGAGCTTTGTGAATTAAATGGCTGAGTGTTGCCAGAAGTTTACCATTTTAAGTGTCGCTCAGAGAAGAAGACAAAGAGATGGAGAGTTGCCAATAAAGCATCTGAAGAACAGAGGCTTAACATGTTTCAGCTTGCACACAAAGCTGAAACACCTTTTTGTTCAAGCAGATGTATGCAGGCCAGAAATAATAAACTTCTACTATGCCAGCAAGTGCGTGGGGTTTGAAATGTTTTTACTCTCTTTGTCTTAACAGCTTTATTTTGCACACTGATCTTTTTCATATTCCATATTTTCATATGCCACTATATCAGGTCATAAGAGGCACTGTGTTTGTGTTATCCTGAGTTGATTAATCTGCCTCAAACAGATAATAAGTAGGTTGTTGATTCTGATTGATGATGTAATGGAGTAATGCAATGAACTATTCAACAAAGTTGTTTCTTTTTCAAAGACAATTTTCAATCCCATAAACAAGAGAGAGGCTTAAATCATATTTCCCATTCGACATAACGTTCAGTATGTGTTTTTTCTCTGCTTATAGAGTCAACAGTGTTTATACCCTCGGCTGTGTACAACATAGAGGAGGACATCGGTGAGCTGCTTATCCCTGTGCGCAGGAGTGGAGATGTCAGCCAGGAGCTCATGGTCATCTGCTACACACAGCAAGGTAACAAAGTCCTTTTGTGTGTTCCATCCAGTTAGTGCTGCCGTGCATGTCTGATAGAAGCAGATACTTATTATTATTCTTCCATGAAATAAGGTCTACATTGCCAATTACATTTGTGTAATTGGCATCTGCAAAGCAAACACTGTCATATTGATATATCTAAAGTGTTAATGAGTTCTGGCTTTTTCTGCTTGGCTAAAAGGAAGCGCTACATTATCACCCATCTAAGATAGGTGTAGTTTTTCTCACATGCAGCATGACAAAAAAGTTACTGCTCTGAATTGTACAGGTTGGATTGCTAACTTTATTTTTCTGTCCCTGTTTTCTGCCCCGCTCAGATTCAGCCACAGGCACTGTCCCCACCACAGTGCTGTCCTACTCTGATTATATCTCCAGGCCCGAGGACCACCACAGCCTCCTGCGCTTTGACAAGGGGGAAACAGAGAAACCCTGCCGGGTTGTGATCATCGATGACTCCCTGTATGAAGATGAAGAAAGCTTCAATGTCACCCTCAGCATGCCCATGGGGGGCCGCCTGGGCTTAGAGTTTCCAACAGCCAGAATCGTAATCATTCCAGATATGGATGACGGTAAGAAGCTGTTACACTGATTGTAAGTATGCAAAAGAATGCAATCAGGGGGAGAAATTATAGGACTTTGATTGTTGTTGAACATTTTATTGTTTTGTGCTTCTTCTATTCAGATGTGCAGAAAGGCAGAATTTATATTAGAGAGATATTTAATGAAGCAGTTTTTCAGTGAGAGGGGAATTAGTTTTTAAAAGTCCTGTAAAGGCAGTATTTCTAAAGCTCATCCACAAAAATGGGCAATGGGACAGACAGCCTTTGGATATTTTCACTTGAATGGGAGCTGCATGTTTTCCCCCGCACGTGTTTGAAATTCTCTGCCCAAGTTCTAGGGGGCAAAACAAATTGGGTGTGTGGTCCCACTTCCCACAGGCAAAGAGTTTATCTCATATCTGCAGGCTCAGACTGGAGGGCTGATAGTCTCCCATATCTCCCCGACGCCTCTTTGTTCCCCAACACCTGACAGCCGCTCCTCACTCCTCTATCGCTCTGACAATCTCCAGAAGCTCTGCCGCAAAGGAAAGACTCTGTGATTGCGGGGAAGGGAACGGAAGCCGAAAACCCAGCGTGATTGTCAAGCCATCTTGTTTATTCCCCGTGAATCAGAATCCAATTATCAAACTAGAAGTCACGAGTTGATGCAATATTCAGTTAAAAAAACAAATCTGATCGCGTGCTTTAAGTGAAATCACAAAGAAGTACTTTTTTTGTAAACTGTCACTCTCCCAGCTGCTCTAATTATTGGAAATTGGATTTATCTTTCATTTTACTTTAGAAGTGAAACAAGATTTAGATATAATACTATAAAAAAATCAAATATTTTATGTACGATGTGTTGCTGGCCTGACTGAAACAGAGTATGCTATTTTCAGTCAATAGTGCTGCTCTTTGCACCTTTTCTCTATTTGTCACATTTTAAAAAATTATGAAGAGACTTAACATTAGTCCTCAGCTGTATAGCAGCCTCAGGTGTAACCTGAGAGGGACCGCAGGGCCTTTAGACCCCCACCTCCTAATCAGCTCCCTCAACAGCTGCCGACACTCACCGGCAGAATCCCGTGGCATTTGGCCTTCTTCATGAAGAACTCTTCCTCTCTGTTCCAGCTATGAAATTACATTATCACGGTCTGATAATGTGAGTCGCATGTCTTACAAACTGCCGTCCACTCTGGAGACTATTGACTGCTGTCCCTGTGACTGGGCTGCCGTCACTTACTTTTCACCTGCACTGAAATTCAGAGAATGTTAAAAAACATAGAGAGTGTTTGATCAGTCAGTTGTCAGGGGTCGAAGGTGGGATGTGGTTGGTTGTTGTTACTGATGTGTATCATCTTTGTACTGTGACATTTCTGCATTTTCACAGAGCTGTGGAGTCAAAATGAAATGCTTTACTTGCTTGAGTAATTAATGTGTTGAACTCAGCGGGTAAACGTATCACAGATTATATTCAGAAATACCTTTGTGCTTTAGATTTAAGACTCCCCGGTTTGCTGATATTAGAATTTGTCGGTCATGTTATCACTGAAAAGGTGAAGTTTGCCAGACAACTATCATTAAGTTTCTACTCTTGGATATTCTAGCTTTATCTAAAATAAGAATTTATTTGCCACTGATACGCATGAAAGCTCCTTAAACTTTAGGTAACTTCCTGTAAAAATCCCTGGAATCCCTTTCCGTATGATTAGTCTCTTTATGTGTGGTAACTGATATTGGTTTGGCTGCCTGCATAAGCATAAAAGATAAATATGTGCTCATAAGATATGTAATGTCTGTGAACTTCCACAGTGTAAATGTTGTTTCTGGCACTAGATAGTACCATAGTGGAAAGGTTGTGTTAAAATTCATAAATGTTATTCATCTGGGTCCATTCAGGCTTCCTCGTGGAGTCCAAAAGAAATTCATGGTAAGCTGGCCATAGCATTAGCCATCAATAGTATCTCTGGACAGGGTGAAGTGGAATATTATTAAATTCATCCATAAGTGAAATCGAACGTGAAGAGCAAGAAAAAATAAGGTGAAGTCAAATCTTCATATCTCCCTGAATAAAGTGATGATAAAATTGCTTGAGCATTGATGCTGAACTAAATGGTAAATAGTTCTGAGACAAGGGGAACATGGCTGATCTCTGAAAGAGACAGGTGAGGGAATATCCATCCCAATCCATTTATTTCAGGTATTCTGGCTACGTTCATGGTTGTAACACGGGTTCTGTTTCTAAAGTACACATACACAGCTTAAGCTAACGGGGCCATCACATCTTTCTTTGTCAAACTTCTAGAATAGCGGTCAGCTATGCTGTCCAAACTTTCCACATTAGCGCAGACAGCTGCAATCCTGAGAATAACTGCTATTTTCCTTGTGGAAGACAATCAAACTGCCACATCCCTACAATTTCCACTCAGTTTTCTGCCTGGAAAAGGTTTGGGGGAACTTGTCCTTTCTTGCAGAGGTAATTGCTGTTTGATATTGACTCTGCATCCGGGTAAATGTTTTGGTTGATGGGACGGTACGACATGAGAATGCTTGTACAGCAGAACTTGACTGGTGTATTTACAGTCTTGAGTCACTTGCCTGTAAATTTCATTCTGGATCTAAAGGTATGATTATGAGGCGCTTTAAAGATTGGCGTCATGAATCAAGAGGAAACTTACACACCTTGTCATTATGTCTCAGCTGGATTCCCTTTCATTCTGATATAAGCAGGTGTCCTCAACAGGTATCCAGGTGTTTAAATGAAATAATGCTGTCTCCATATGCTAACGTTGTTGATTTTTCACTCTCAATCATTTAGCACCTTTTGCTATTTTTTATATTAGAAATAAATTTGTCTTCCACATTTTCCAGGGCTCAACTGAATCTAATCATAAGAGAAGCCACTTAGCTATGTGAAAATGTCATGTAAAGTTCAAGTAAAATCAAGCCAACGATGGAGGCTTAATAGTTCCCTTAGGGATGCCTGCGTCTCTCCCTGTGTCTGTTCTTTTCTTTTATGTTCACACATATAAAGCAGCTCTTCTAACTATAGGAGATGTTTACGCATTGTACCTCTGGTGACTTAAAAGCATAAGGACTAACAAAACAACTAAATAAAGAAGGCCACTTGTGGCTTTTTTTTCATTTCTCACTTATTACATGTTCATTAATATATATTTAATATGTCAGTCTAAGTCTGAGTCATCTCCCCTTGTATTTATGTAACCTTAGATGTATTTTTATCGTATCAGAGATGACTGCTAGAGCCAGTAGTAATGGGTCTAAGGACTTTGAAGCCCTCTGTTTGTCTCCTGCACAGGCCTTATCTGATTACTGACTAATACAACAGGCTTTGAGTTTGTGGATGTCAACCTCAGTCTTGTAGATCTGATTACTACTCCAGGTTGGCTCCTAGTGCAGGCAGCCAAAACCATCTTTGTTTGCTTTTTTCTTTGGGGAGATATTCTGGCAGCTATAACCCTCTTGATGCGGCACTTATCCCATCTATCCACTCATGACTGATTAAAGCAGAGACATTTTCTGCCCTTTGCTTGAACTTAGGAGTAATATTATTTCAACCGCATGTATGGCGTCTTTTGAAACTACAAAACCCTGAGATTACCATAAAAAAGACTTTTTTCCCCTTCTAGGATTTCTCTTTTCTTACAGATATCAAGCTATTATCACCAAAGTAGACAACAAAGAAATATGCAATGTATTCCCAAGACTCAGATTACTTGGGTGCATAATTGCATTGTGTATGATAATAGTTTTTTTTTTTTTTGTCTGGCAACACTTTCTGCTGACTGTTAATCACCGTCTCCCTTTCTTCTTGCCTCTGTAGTTTGGTTTCAGGAGATAACACAATGATCAACAACAACAGCATGGATTTTCAGTCTTTGTATTTATCGCCCAGGTCCATATTTTCCGTTATGCCTCATACTGTGTGATGAGAAATAGCAAAGTCCTGTTTTCTAGGTGCACACAGTCATTGTCATGGAAACCACAGCTGTGCCCATGACCATCGCCATTGACTGGATTTATTCATTATTTGATCACAGATGTTTTTAAAAGCTCAAGCTTTTCACAGCGTAATTGTGTCCCATTAGTGATAATTATTTATTCTCTCAGCCGTGACGATATGAGCCGTTTGTTGGATAAAATTTCACTGGATTGTTTTCAAAATTTGGCCGAGCAGCTTTTGAATGTGCTTGTAGCCCATCACACCTCCCAAAGGGAACATACTCAGTTGCCAAATCTTAAGTAACTATTTCACAAACAGCACGACACGTTAGATATCACTGGAAGCCGATGGCTCTTTTAGGGTTAAATCTAACAGTGGGTGAGTTTGGCTGCTGTGGAATCTCAGCTCATAGAAACACTAATTGCAGTCAGGCAGGCCCAAGCTGGTACTTTGAGCTTTACATCCTCCAGACCTCCTGTCAGGCCTCCTGTCTGCCTCACAGACCCATCACTATCAAAGGAAGCTTTACCATCAGACTCATCCAAGGCCAGAAAACTCAGTTTTGCCTTAGGGTTGTTTTTGGTTTGTGTGTGTGTGTGTTTTTTTATTTATTTGGGCGATCCAACTTTCTTGCAATTCTCAAAACACCCCCAAAACAGGAAATTAGAAAGTGCCTTTTAACGTTTACAATTACAGTGTTGACTACCTGCCTCTGATTCGATGGAAACGATCTCTCAGCTCTCTTGTAATTAGAGATGTTCAGACAGAGTGTGGTAGCTGTTAAAGATTCAACTCTGCAATTACGTCAGACATTCAAATTTCCTGTTGTTTTATTGTGGACCCCATCTTCCAATGCTCTTTTCCTCATCTGCTTCATTTCCTTCTCTGTTGTTGTTCCCAGAACCCGTTTTCTACTTTGGCAACACCGAATACCATGTGGATGAAAGCGATGGCGTTTTGGAGGTGCAGGTGTGGAGGACAGGGACTGATCTTTCCAAAGGGGGAACCGTCACAGTGCGCTCCAAAAAGACGGATCCTGTCTCAGCCGAGGGTATGCTTCCCTTCTAAACAGGACTCTCCAGCGGGTTCAGCTGTTCCAGGCTTAAATAGACGAACACTTCACAGAAGTCATCATCCTGACAGTTTTTGTATTCCTGAGCTCAACTGTGCAGAATTTCCACTCTGCCTATGTGGAGTGGATGACTTGAAGAATGTAAACATTGTCTTAGGTGGGGAGAAGAGCAGCCAGGGATTTCCTGTTGAATCCTTGTCTTATAGGCTCTGCTCTGGATCTACACATTGTTGTGAAGTTAATAATAGTCTGACTGCAGGCAAGTTTGAGGATTGCATACTAATTATTCCGCATGTTAGGAGCACTTGGAACCTTATGAGTGATTGCCATTTCCTCAAGTCTTCCCTGCAGCTTTTATTATCTCCTGCCCACAGACAGCCATCTCCCCTTTTGCAAATTCTTAACAACTCTTCTCCTGCATGTGCTGCAACTATAAAATAACTACTAACTAATCATAAGCAGCAAAATAGAAATCCAGGCCCAGGTACGTATGGGTTATAAATAAATGAACATGCCTGCAGGCAAAGTTTGAGCTCTCAATACAAAGACATTTCAAAGAATGGCGAATGCAGGACCTTTTTGCACTCAGGAAGAGGTCTGCTCTCTCGAAGTGCTTTTTCAGTCATGAAACGATTCCAACTGTTCATTGCTATCGACTGTATGATGAAATATTTTGTCAGCACGCAGTGTAGGACTCTTCATCTTGCTCACAGCATTCCCATTCCCGGTGATAAGTAACATAAAAACAGCTGTCAAAGTAAGATCAAGCTCTGCAGTCTGAGGGAGACTACAGCCAGGATATCCTCACGAAAAGTCTTTGAAACACACTATTTTAGACATGTCTGACCTGTATTGTGTTGTGAGGCAGCCGGCCTGGATTATGTGGGGATCAGCCGGAATCTGGACTTTGCACCGGGGGTCACCATGCAGACGTTCCGCGTAACAATCCTGGACGATCTTGGTCAGCCGGTTCTGGAAGGACCAGAGAGGTTCGAACTGGTGCTGCGAATGCCTATGAATGGGATCCTTGGAGAGCCAAGCAAGACCACCATCTTTATTAATGACTCAGTCTCTGACTGTGAGTAAATCCTACTGGTTGCTAACATTTAGTCAGGCGATTACAGTTTATAGCTCATTTTTCGCGTTGAAAATGTATTTATTCTAGTGCCAAAGATGCAGTTCCGTGACACTGTGTACATGGGCAATGAGGACTCAGGACAGATCTCAGCCACCGTTTATCGAAGTGGGGATATCAGCTACAAGTCCACGGTGCGCTGCTACAGCAGGCAGGGAACAGCCCAGGTGATGGTGGACTTCAGCGAGAGGCCCAACACAGATGCCTCTATCATAACCTTCCTACCAGGTGTCGTAGCAAAACTCTTCTTCTCTTCTTATATTACAACATATGCACAAGCAAATATTATTTTTAATGACTTTATCTCTTTCAGGGGAGGTTGAAAAACCTTGTTTGCTAATACTGGTGGATGACGTAGAACATGAGGAGGAGGAAGAGCTCCGTCTCGTATTGGGAAGCCCAAAGAGTCAGTCTCCATTTGGAGCATCTATTGGAAAGCAGAATGAAACACTCATTAAGATAAAAGATGAAGGAGACAGTAAGAATGCTTGGCTTTCTTTTTGTGTATTGATTCTCACAAAAGCTTTTTGAGAATTGATCTGATTCAGATTTTGGGTCTGCATAGTGCCTTTTTTTTGCTGATGGTTATAACTGCTGTGATGCAGCATTACAAGTGTCCTTGTATTGCTACCTTTTATCAGCATGACTGAAATAGTAATATGCTTTCACAGGGCCTATTATTCATTTTGGAGAGACCAAATTCAGTGTGAATGAACCAAAGGACAGTGGCCAAGTTTCTGTAGTTAAGATCCCGGTCTTGCGTGATGGAGACCCCTCCAAGGTCTCTATTGTGCGAGTTCACACCAAAGATGGATCTGCTACATCTGGGGAAGACTATCATCCCATATCAGAGGGTAAATACCACCACCACGCTCTGAATCTGAAATTTGCTTTAAGAATATTTGTCTAATGTCTCTCCTTTGAATCTGTAGAAATCGTGTTCAGACAGGGTGACACAAAGCACCATGTGGAGGTGGAGATTTTATTCGATGGTGTTAGAGAAATGAGGGAGGCTTTCACTGTCCACCTAAGGCCTGATGAAAACATGGTAGCAGAAACAAAGGTGAATATATTTATACATTTAAACCCTTAACTATGTTACTGGGAGACTTTTGCATTCAACATGCTTTAAAAACTTCTTAATTGCTTTTGTTTGCGGATCCCCAGATGAGCAAAGCAATCATTTACATAGAGGAAACCAACAGCATGGCAGATGTGACGTTTCCCTCAGTACCCAAAGTGGTTTCTCTGTTTCATTATGATGACATAAACAGAGCCGGAGACTCTTTGCCTGTGGCTGGATATCCTGTCATTTGTGTCACCGTAAGTCCCAACTAAAGTGTAAACAAATCATTAATGAGTACCTGTTGCTAATCTAGTTAGTCACGAAGCTTTTGTTTGTCACAAACCTGGTTTCAAACAGGTGAACTGGTAACGAGCCAGCATTCAGGACATGCACACACTCGGCTTTATTATGAGCTCCCTGGAGGCCTCATTAGTAGCGTACAGAAATGACTTTGGTGGTTGCGATGATTTTTGAGTGCATTTCTCCCCATTTCGTTTTCCCCCCCCCACATCCCTTTTTCCAGGCCTGTAACCCCAAGTACACAGACTACGACAGAACAGGCTCCATCTGTGTGAGCGAGAACATCAACAACACGCTCACTCAGTATCGCTGGCTCGTGAGCGCCCCCACCGGCCTGGACGGGGTCACCAGCCCGATGAGGGAAGTCGACTTTGACACTTTCTTCACCTCCTCCAAACTCATAACCCTGGACTCAGTCTATTTCCAGGCTGGCTCTAGGGTCCAGTGCGCTGCCAGGGCTGTGAACTCTAATGGGGATGAAGGTCTAGAACTGAGCAGCCCCATAGTGTCGATCAGCACAGAAGAGGGTGAGTTCAGCTCAAATTGAAACTTCAGCTATTTTATCCATTTAATGTAACTCAACGTAATTAGTAGCGGCATAATAGTCTTTTGTCTCCTATTCTTGAACTATAAGTCCTTCCTTTATCCCTGACTCTGACAGAATGCTGAACTGTCTGAATTTGACATCCTTTTGTGTGTGTGTGTTTGTGTGTGTGTGTGTGTGTGTGTGTGTGTGGTTGCAGGAATGTGCCAGCCTCGAGTTGTAGGCACCGTGGGGGCCGAACCTTTCTCTGCCAGGTTGAAGTACAGCGGAGCTGAGGATATAGACCACCCCAACCTCATCAAATTAACCGTCACCATGCCCCATATTGATGGTGAGAATAGCAGATATAAAGTTTTTAATCTGAATCAAGAGCTGTCATTTGAAACATTTCTGTTTGTGCAAACCATGTGCTGCTTAGTATAACCTTTATTATTCATCTAATGCAACTGATTTCCCTAACTGCTGTTTTTGTCGGCCTACAGGAATGTTGCCTGTGGTGTCTACCCGACCCCTGTCTAACTTTGAGCTGACGCTGAGCCCTGACGGGACACGTGTCGGCCAGCATCGCTGCTCCAATTTGTTGGACTACAGCGAGGTCAGGACCCGTTACGGCTTCCTGACCGAAGCTACCAAAGATCCAGAAGGCATGGGCAAGAGTGTGCCTTACCAACACAGCGTTTCCCTCAGGGGATCCAGCACACTGCGCTTCTATAGAAACCTTAACTTGGAGGCTTGCTTGTGGGAATTCAGCAGCTACTATGACATGTCTGAACTGCTCAGTGACTGTGGAGGCACCATTGGGACTGATGGACAGGTAAAGAAAAACTCTTCCTTTTAAGCTTCATCCCACCTTTGACCCCTTTTCCCATTTCTAGACACAAACAGACCAGCACAGTTTAAAAAGCCATAATCCTTTGATAGAAACATGGACTTACTTGTCAGTTTTCCATTGATGACCTTTTTGTATTTTCATTGATTGATATTTTACCACCAATGAATTTTTGCCTATCAATGTTTTTTTTTTCTTTTTTCTTGAAAGATCCTGAAAGTAAATACCAGGCTGTAAATTTGCCTGTGGACTTGTGTTATCCTCCTCAGTAATGCCTAAATCCAATCCTGCCCCCTTTAAGTAACTGGTAGGACAAGTTATTTGTCGAGTCAAAGTGGGAGTACTGAGCGGCCTAATAAAAATCCCTATTGGTCTTTTTGGCCCCTTCCACAATATGTTCTCAGCAACAGCAGCAGATGTTACACACGCTTCTAAAGGGATTTGTCTTGCCTCCTGGCACACATGCCTTACAGTCTTCAACATTTGCATTCACCTTGGAAACGTTCCCGTATTTATATTGAATAATTTAAGGCAGATATTTGAGAAAAAAAAAAGGTTTGGCACAATGTCGGGGGCACATCATGGTAAAATTGGTGAGGACTTTTAATTCAAGGCCTAAAGCAGTGGGAAGTGTATTTGGACCTCTTCTGCCTGTAAGAGTGGACATGTATATTGGTTTTCCATTATAAGAGGAGATTCTCATTTAACATAGCTCCAGGTTTATTTAATAACAACAGCATTACCCAGGTGATAAGAGTCCTTCTCAACAAGTGGAGCTTTGTTGCCTATGACCACATAATGTAAATATGAACACGGCAAGAAGAAGCTTGTCTTCACAGGTTAGGTGTCTCCTGCTGTCTCCGCTTCAGCTACGACCGATACCAAAAAATCTGAAATCAAACAATGCAGAGCAATAAGTGGACCTATTGGATGTGTTTTTCTCCACTAATTAGTGATCACATAAATACATTTTTACCAAAGATAAACTGGATCAATCATTAATTATTTAAAAACAGGAATTGGGCCTTTTTCACAATAGGATGAAAATCTCTTCAGCCTCTCAAAAGTAGACGTATAGAATTACGCTTCACAGATTCCAGATTTGTTAGACAGGATCAAGAGAAGAAGGAACAGCCTTTGTTTGTGGTTGTCTTGTGACCCAAGTGCCTTGCTAAATGGGCAGGCTGACTGGAAACAACTCATTGGAGGTAGGGGCCAGTGTCATGTCACTCTGTTGGGCTTAGTGCCCTGCTTAACAGGACCGTAGGAATCTATTAAAACCCAGCAGGATGTGTCAGGGGGCCATTCAGCAAATCATTTGCCTGAGCTTTCAGTGCCCAGAGGCAGAGGCACGTCTCCACATGAACACAGAGCTAGTGCAGGCAGGTTCCTCACATGGGTCACAGCAAAGTGCAGATACCAGAGAGTGCTAACTCAGAGGACTTTGACCAGAGTAAGAAAAATATCTTTTGGGTAAGAAGAAGTGTTAGATAAAAGCCACACATTACTATTGAAAAAGATTTTAATAAGGGTGAATGAATTTTTAATGGCAATAACTTAAAGGAGATGACTGTTTGTAGAATTTTATAGTGTTTTAGTTCCCCAAACTATGTGTTCCAAGAACTCATAAATCTGATGACTAACTTAGATAATAGCTTGAAAAGGACCTAAATTGACCTAAGATTTGGTTCTGTATTTCAGTATGGAAGCATCTTGTGTTTATTCTAACCAGATGTTTTTCATCAACACATCTCAAAACATAAAATACCTCTGTGAGGGAGTTTGAATGGAATTCACACATCACGGTGTTCGTCTCTCTGCAGGTGTTGAACCTCATCCAGTCTTATGTGACGGTCCGAGTCCCGCTGCATGTGTCGTACGTCTTTCATTCCCCTGTTGGAGTCGGAGGATGGCAGCACTTTGACTTGCAGTCCGAGCTGAGGCTCACTTTTGTGTACGACACTGCCATCCTGTGGAGAGATGGAATCGGCAGCCCACCAGAGGCTGAACTACAAGGTTGGACTTTTACACTTGTTTGATTTATTAAATGCTGGAAATTGATTGTTTACCTTAAAGTGGTTTGTCTTTGCAGGTGCCCTTTACCCAACCAGCATGCGCATAAATGGCCAGGGACAACTGGTCGTCAACTTCCGAACAGAGGCTCGATTTAGAGGCCTGTTCGTGTTTACACACCCAGGTACAGAAACTCATTACATTGTGCTGTTATTCATCTTAGAAGCATGAGCATTAATAAATACAATACATTATCAAAATGCAAATGTTGTTGTTTAGGTTCTTAGCCAGGATTTAATGTTAGTAAATGTACATTTTTTTAGCCTCTACAAATATGACAGTTTTCAGATATATAAATTCAGATTCAATGGTTATTAGATATTAGAGGTGTTTTTTCCTCCCATCAGCTTCATCTCTCACCTCCATGGTCATGTGTCCCGAACATCCCGGTTTAACTTTTAACATCAGCCTTGTGAGGAGTGAGCCGACCTACAACCAGCCCATTCAACAATGGACCTTCATCTCCGATTTCGCAGTGAGAAGATGCTATGTTTTTTTAAAGAACGGTTTCATTTTCTGTAATACAACTCATTCCTAAAAAAAAAAAATTTTTCCTTCTATAGGTGCGGGACTATTCAGGCATGTACACAGTGAAGTTAATCCCGTGCACGTCCCCTCCAAACCTGGAGTTCACCATCCCTCCTGTCTGCAATCCAAGAGAGCCTCTCACCTTTGACCTGGATATCCGCTTCCAGCAGGCGAGTTTACAGTGGATAAAAAAGTTAAAAGCAGAAAACTGTTCATTCAAGCTGAAATAGTGAACAACTGTACTGAGATGAACTCGAAACTTTGTTCTGTTTAGACTGTTTAGTCAAATTTAAATTGAAATCTAATGAAAATTCAGCTTTTTTATCATTTAGGTAGTATTATCTAGATGATATAGCATTGATGCTTATGCTTAAAACATCATCCTTGAATCAAAGATTGTATTCAAAGCTGTCCTTATTCCAAAAGTATTTCACTGACTATTTCAGGTCAGTGACCCGGTAGCTGCTGAGTTCAGTCTGAACACACAGATGATTTTACTCTCCAAGCGGACCCTCTGGCTATCGGACGGCTCCATGGGCTTTGGTCAGGAGAGTGACACTGCTTTCTCTCAAGGTATGATATCAACTCATAAAATGCCAACTATCATTAATTAATTAATCATGAATAATGACGAAAGAAAGAAAGAAAGAAAGAAAGAAAGAAAGAAAGAAAGAAAGAA